ATTCCATTTTCATAATATTTACAGTAGTTTTTGACCTAGTTCGCAGTAAGGGAGGCATATCCACTTTTGTTAATCCGTCTCTGTCCTTACCGTTCTATCGTAGTCATCGTTCTGCCATCGGCTTTTCACGGCCCGTACGCTTCTTCGTATTATTTCGCTTGGGTAGCCGTTGCCGAGGCATATCCGAATCAACTGTCCTACTTCTTCATCCCAGACTTCCACGCCCGTTAATTATAAGCTTCTGATGATCATGTGCTTCAGTGTTCCTATCTTCATTGTGTAGTTGTGATGAGACTCGAAATTGAGTGCCATACCGGAAAAATTTCCCGTTGAGTATCCCATTAGAGCGAATGACTTCCACATCTAGAAAAGTCAAACGCGTCTCTTCCTCTACAGCCATTGTGAACTTAATTCTTTTATCAATTCCTTTCATAAACTTTAGGTAATCCTCCAATTTTTATCTTCCATGCGATCAAATTGCAAAGTGGTCATCCGAGTACCGCATATGAACTCTTGGTTGCAGCGTTGATCCTATAGGAAGTGCAAATGACTGTTAATAGGTGTCGCTGTTGAGTCCTTATTGCCAAGTTGATTAGTTGCGTAAAGGACTCCCATCGGATACTCTTTGCCTCTAGGATACCCTATTCTTGATCTAAAATTTCTACCAGGGTCGTTAGTAACTAAGCTCCAGAGACGTTAGTGTACATAGATTATACATCAAGATATAAGAAAAAATCGGTTTCTTACAGTGTCACGTTATTGATCCACTGAGAAAAGTAATCAGTGCTTCACTGTGTTTGATAATCTGTCATTTACATTCTTGTGTTTCAGACATATGAACTTTGCTCATTTTTGTATTGCTTCATAATTGTTGATAAGTATCAGCCTTAGTGGAAAGATAGTGAGGCAGATGATTTACCAAGTCTTGCATGCTCTGTCATACTAATTATGATGATTTCCAGAATCTGACCATTGATTTGGTGCATTACTGTCAGTAAACGGTCTGATTCTGAAAATCATAAATACTATGACAGAGGACGCAAGACTAGGTACATCATCTGCTTAACTTACTAGCTTCCCTAATAGCCACAATATCCAAGAGGTAAATCCTTATTATACTCCAAATCCATTACGGACGCAATATTTCTTATTTTTCGTTTTATAATTAGGTTTTTTGAGACTATCATTATATCTAATAAAAGAGCTGTGTTTATACTACTTCGCTCAAGGTGCTGAAACACTGGTAGTTGAATAGACCTTATGGTTACATTAAATTACACATATCCTTACTTCCGAAAAGGTATTTACATCCAGGCTGAAGGGGACTGTAGTTTCGACCTCGCCTAGGCCTCACAAATATCCACAACTTGAGCCGAGATAGTGCAGTGTATAATCTCGACACGATAACTACTACACGCCTGCACTAAGCCAAAGTGCAGCGAATGCCTTTGGGTCACAGGGAAGAGGTGAATTTCAAGTAAGGCCAGGCATCTTCGCATGCCACATTCTGTGGTGAGATCGTCGATTAAGCAGGGTTTTATTTGTTATAACGATAGATTATATTGCTTATCGCTTCATTAGTAGGCTTTTAGAGACCTGTATTTTAGGAAGCAAGGATGTGAAAATCAATGGAAACGTAAGACCTACGCATATCATTGTGGGAACAAGTATATCCAGAGAATAGTCTAATTTATTCAAAAGATACGAAGAGAAACTGGGTCTCGATGAATCTCCTGAGATAACATTGTTGGGGGGACTCTCATTTCGTATGAAAGTGCATGAAGGAGAGATTTGTAGGTCGATATTACTACATGAGAATGACTGAATCGCGTTGTACTGCAGCCGTTTGGCTTTTACACGACGTTCAGGTTGACGCAGTCCACGAGACCTCCTATCTCGTTTTGGGTGAAAACGAGCCGAGATTTCGTCCATCAAATATGAGACCCAGTTCTGATGATGTCCATCATAGGATGGACGAAAGCTCAGCCCGTTTTCACTCTAAACGAGGGAGGTCTTGTGGACTGCGTCAACCTGAACGTCGTATAAAAGCCAAACGGCTGCAGTACAACGCGATTCAGCCGTCCTCATCTGGTGAGATCGACCTACGAATCTCTTATTCATGCACTTTCATATGAAATTCTGAAAAGCAAAATGCAATCCTTTTTTCAATAAAGGTTTCATAGTATCCCTCAGAGTTATACTGGATAAATTAATTAGCTTTAAAAATTTGTGGAAAATATGATTACTACGACAACTTAGGTGCAAAATCTCTCGATCTAAATTCTTGATCTTCTTATCATGTGTCCGTTCGATCATTTCATTCATGGCTTCCTAAGCCGCCAGCAATACTCTGTGACTTAAGGAAATACGTATCAGTCATTACCTGAGAAAGGGATTGTCCTAGTCTGGTTATGGTCCTGATTAGTTCGTGTAGTCTGTTTACTTAAGCCTTGTTTTAACCAAACCACTTCCGATTGGCAGAGTTAGGCTGACCAAAATGTCTACCGACAAAACAACATCCAGGAATAGCCTTAAAAG